AGGGATTAAGAAAATAACACTCTGATCTGCATTGATCTTGAGCGTTGAGAGTCTCTTACACTGCACAGCGGGACACGGGTCCGACTGTGAGGAGAATGATGGCGAAAGTATTTTCGTCCCTCCGTTTCATCGCATTCCTCGCCACTTCTCTCACCTCCTTCAGCTCCCCATGTGGCTCATACAACATACAACGTCTGCTCTTGATCCATCAAGGCCTCACTTAGCAGTCAGACACAGAAATGTGTCCACTGACAGATATAAATGACTCGTTAGCCATTCAGACGTCAGGCTTGAAATTAAGAACAAAAAAGCAGCAGCATGTGAACAAGTCATAAAACAAACAAAAGTAACTTCACCTACGGGTCAACACGGTGGCTGTGGGTTTTTATATTTTTGGTACAAATAGCTACAAGTCTGGTCTGACTTAATGACACGTTTTTAATGTTGACTGTATTATTCTGTCTCGTCCTGTTCCACGGCAGCAGGAGTTTAAATTTTAATGCCTCTGTAATTCTGTACTATAACGCCGAGGTCAAAAGGTGAAGGGTCAGGAAGAGCCAAGTGTTTTAGGAGGTCAATGTCTCTCTCCCTTGCTGACTGGCAGAGACGTGTCCATCTGTTAAACAGGTTAGTGTTGGTGAGACAAGCTGGGAGAGTAAGATAATGTGTGATCATTGGATTAGCAGGTTAACAAGGACGTTATTGGATTACTTTGAAAAGATTATCCACGTCACCGGACACAAACAAATATCATTAGTCGTGGTGTAGTTAGGACGTGTGGTCGATATATTTAATTAGCTAAAAGAAATAACCTGAAAACAGTCTTTAAATTCTGGACATGTTGTTGTACAACGATAGTAAAAATGTTCTTTTATAGAACCTTAACCAGATTGCATGTCGCTGTGATGTAAGTATTGTAGGTTTTTAAGCATTTGGGAGCACAGAATTGTGCATATAAACACATCTTTATGTAAATCTATTTCCAAAGATTTTATATAGTTTTCACATCTTTATGTAAATCTATTTCCAAATATTTTATATAGTTTTTTTTTTTAGAACCCAATTAATTGTACTGTAATTTGTCGTTCTAAACTTTTCACTGTAAGGATGTCCTGATTGTTGTGGGTTGATTTAAATAAAAATAAATAGTGTAATTAAAGCCAGATTTAAATAATTTTACATTTAATTTCTATTGTTGTGATCGACAATGACAATATAAAGAAATACATTAAAGTATCTCAGAATGGCATTTTCTTTGTATCAGCTTGTACCTTACGATACAATGCCAAAGAACAACATTTTTCTACAGCTTTTGCCAGTCCCAGGACACGGGCACTCTTTAACTAACAATCAATGTCTAACTTGAGCTTGGAGAAATTGTGTTTTTATTGTATCTAACTTGAGCTTGGAGAAATTGTGTTATGTTTTTATTGTGCATTAACCCACAACTAAATGTCAAAAAATGTACTTGGCAAGAGTGTCCCCGGGTAATTTGAGTTTGAGACGCCTGCTTTGCACTGGGAACCAGATGCAAAATTCCATGGTTTTGAAGGAGGACAAACTCCACAACATGAGAATCATGTGCAAACTGGACTTAAAATAAACTTTTCAGAAACCGTGTCTTTGTTACAGTGAGGAATAAAAGTCTGTCCAGCCTCATGTTGACCATCATGAAACCAGCAGCGTCCACTCCACCACTCTCTCTCGCCGCTCCATGTACAGGATGCATCTTTGATAAATGGCAGAAGGATGGATGGGCTGACAGAGGGGCCGGACAATAATGGCTGATCTACAGGACACAAATGCAGCTACTGAGGAGATTTATGGGCCTCTTCTCATCGTAGACTGTCCAGTGTCCGATGAGATGATTTCTCAAAGCTCTGGACTGATGGCAGCGAGCGATAGGAAGAGCCCTTTCCCCTGTGCGGGCCATTATTTATTAATCAGATGTTTTGGGTGGAAGCCGTATCAAGAAGAGCGCCCAGGAAACAACGGGACGGTCGTAAATATGACAAAGACGAGAGAAAACAAGTGTGAGAGGGAAAGTGAAACTGTCGGAGTGAATCAGGGGCATGAGAAGAGTGGCTTTGTACATCCAAGAGCCTCGGCAGACGAGGTTCACTCTCACCTTCATGGACTGTGCATGACATTTACAAAAGCACATCACCTTCAGAAACCAAAAAGGAATACTGTGGCCATGTTCGTAAGGAGAAAACTCCCATTGCTGCTTCATTAGAAAAAAACTAAAGAAAAACTTCCACAATGGTTGAGATTGTGATTTTATGTAATGCTGTTAGAGTAGTTTAGCCTAAAAAACATATACTTATGGAATGGAATCAAACTCCATGAAATTATTAAAAATAAGAGATTAAATTAAATATTGATTATCTTTAGTTTAGGTTAGTAGGAGTTTTAGTCTTCACACACTAAACCTATGGAATGGAATCAAACTCCATGAAATAATTAAAAATAAAGAGATTAAATTAAACTTATTAGTTTATAAAAATTATCTTTAGTTTAGGTTAGTAGGAATTTTAGTCTTCACACACAAAACAAGCTAAAACCTTATAAACCAAAATAATGCAGTCAAATTGGTGGGGAAAAAAGGATAATTTTTCTCTCTTTTCACCACTAGAGTCTATCACACAATAGCTGCCATCGTTTCCGCTCATTAATCTTCACTTTGTGTATTCAGGATCAATAATAAAGCAGACAACACGGCAACATTCCACCCAAACAGTTAATGTCTGATCAAAATGGCCCT